CAGAGAGGAAGGGAGAGAGATAGAAAGCCAGAAACATCGATGAGAGAGAGTCATCGATCAGCTGCCTCTTGCACACCCCCTACTGGAGATATGCCTGCAACCAAGGTACATGCCCTTGACCGGAATCGAACCCAGGACCCTTCAGTCCCCAAGCCGACGCTCTATCCATTGAGCCAAACCGGTCCCGGCCAGACCCCGTTTTCTTAATCACTACATTCTACAATGTTCCTTCTATTTTTAAATATATATATATTTTATTGATTTTGTACAGAGAGGAAGAGAGAGGGATAGAGAGTTAGAAACATCAATGAGAGTCATAGATCAGCTGCCTCTTGCACACCCCGCCCTATTGCGGATATGCCCACAACCAAGGTACATGCCCTTGACCAGAATCGAACCCAGGACCTTTCAGTCCCCAAGCCGACGCTCTATCCATTGAGCCAAACCGGTTTCGGCTGTCCTTTCTATTTTTTATTAAAAATAATGATCACTGCTTCTATGCATGAAATCATTTAATTTATGAAAAATTATTTGGAGAAGCAATTAATTAACAAGGCAGAACTTGCTAGCATATACCCAAATTCTGAACAAAATGTCTGAGATCTTTTTCAACCTGAGCTAGATGGAAGTGGCTCTCTTAAAGAATTAACACATGCAACTTTCAAAAGGAGTGAAAAGGGTCTCTTAGTGGGTACAGCCTAGAAAAGCCAGATGTGATCAAGGTGCCTCCAAAGGATGATTCCAACAGCCCCGATGTATTCAGGAATATATTTTTTCAATAAAAATTCAGCACATTTTGGGGTGGCTCAGTTGGAATGTCCTCCCATACAGCAAAAGGTGGCAGGCTTCGGCTGCCAGGCTGGGAGCGGCCAGGCCCGGGGGAGCAGGCGGGTCGGGTGCGGCCAGGCCCGGAGCAGCGGCTGCCAGGCTGGGAGCGGCCAGGCCCGGGGGAGCAGGCGGGTCGGGTGCGGCCAGGCCCGGAGCAGCGGCTGCCAGGCTGGGAGCGGCCAGGCCCGGGGGAGCAGGCGGGTCGGGTGCGGCCAGGCCCGGAGCAGCGGCTGCCAGGCTGGGAGCGGCCAGGCCCGGGGGAGCAGGCGGGTCGGGTGCGGCCAGGCCCGGAGCAGCGGCTGCCAGGCTGGGAGCGGCCAGGCCCGGGGGAGCAGGCGGGTCGGGTGCGGCCAGGCCCGGAGCAGCGGCTGCCAGGCTGGGAGCGGCCAGGCCCGGGGGAGCAGCCGGGTCGGGTGCGGCCAGGCCCGGAGCAGCGGCGGCCAGGCTGGGAGCGGCCAGGCCCGGAGCAGCAGCAGCCAAGTCCAGAGCAACTAGGTTGAGAGCGGCAGTGACCAGACCCGGAGCAGCTGGTTGTGGAATGAACCAGAGCAACAGAGGCCAGGCCCTGAGCAGCCAGGCCCAGAACAGCTCTCTCCTTGCCTGCCCCTGCCCCACGGCTGCTTCTCAGACATGGCTGGAAACTTTCGTGGGAACTTGAGTGTCTGCTGAATCAAGTGATGAAGGCTTAGATCTGGATGTGTTGAGTTAGTTTAGGACTGGGGTGTTGATCTGTGAGTGCCTTGGGTGGAGCCTGGATGAGGCTGGTTGACCTAGTGGGAAATGTCTTTTGTGTGAAGTGTATCATTGGGCATGTGGAGGTATTATTGATATGAGAAAATGCTAAGTAACTGATTTACTATCTGAAAAGGGATTTACTATTGGGGAAATTGAGGGAAGAAGAGACTGAACATAAACTGCACCTATGGATGAGGACAATGGGGGATGGGGGGGGGACGGAGGGTGGGGTGGGAACCTGGTGGAGGGGGGAAGAAATGAGGAACCTTTGTAATAATATGAACAATAAAGATTGCTTAAAAAAAAAATACTTATCTAACAAAAAAAAAAAAAAAAAGGTGGCAGGCTTGATTTTTGGTCAGGGCTCATATCTAGATTGCAGATTCGATTCCCTATTGGGGCACCTACAAGAGGCAAAAAATAGATGTTGCTCACATCAATGTTTCTCTCCTTCTCTCTTAAATAAATTTTAAAAGACACATATCCTCGGGTGAGGATTAAAAAGCAAAACAAGCCGAAACCGGTTTGGCTAGATGGATAGAGTGTCCACCTGCGGACTGAAAAGTCCCGGTTTTGATTCCAGTCAAGGGCACGTACCTTGGTTGCGGGTGTGTTCCCAGTGGGGGGTGTGCAGGAGACAACTGATCGATGTTTCTCTCTATCCCTCTCTCTTCCTCTCTGTGAAAAATCAATAAAATATATATTTTTTAAAAATCAAAACAAAATCAGAACACCAAAAAACAAGAAAACAGCAACTCCGCACAACATGGCTTAAAAAAATGGGTTAAGATTTTTTTTTAAATATAGAGGTATACCATACATATAACCTTATATGTAATCAAATGTATGCTAGATTATTTTTTATATTTTTAAAAATATATTTTTATTGACTTCAGAGAAGAAGGGAGGAGAGATAGAAACATCAATAATGAAAGAGAATCAATGAGCTGCCTCCTGTACGCACCACACAGGGAATGGAGCCTGCAACCCCAGCATGTGCCCTGACAGGGAATCCAACCTTGACCTCCTGATTCATAGGTGGAAGCTCAACCGCTGAGCCACGCTGGCTGGCCTATGCTAGGTGATTTTTTACATAAGGCTACACCCCTGTAACTCCACCCAGATCAGTATGGAATATGTTCAGCCCCCCAAAAGGTTCCTGGTACCCAAAGTGATCAACAAAGAAAACAAACAAACAAACAAAAAACCTCTTAAATCTGAACAGAAACATAAAGCATCTGAAGAAACTTTGAAAGCTGGCCAGTAAAAGGCCGAATTTGGGAGAGGGTATTAATTAAGAATGAGACAAACCCAACTTCTATCTTCTCTTAGTGGTGGGTGTAGAGTGCTGTGCATTCACCTTGCGCTCCTAGATGCTCACTATGACTATGCGACATAGTAAAGATTTAACCCTCTTTTGCACGCGATGTAACAGAAACTTGTTCAGGGTTTTTGAGGTTAACGTCCCCACACCAAGCAGGAGAGAAAAAGAACTGGAACTCTCCAACTTGCGCAGCAGATCCAGCCACGTGGCAAAAGGAACGTAGGTGAGGGGGGAAGGAGGAGGGAGGCCTGGAGTCAAGTTACCGAGCAACGTCGCTCCTGCCCGCCCACTGGCCGGCAGACCAGGCCCCACTTATAGAGGCTCCGGACGGCTGTCCTTGGACTTCTCTACTGTATTACCCGCCGCGCGCCCTTTGAACTTCCCGCAGGCTGCGCGCCCGGGAGCCCCTCCGGGTAAGTGCCCCAGACAGAACGGTGCGAGGTCCATCTGGCACTGGACCTCAGGTACATTCGGTGGGACCCAAAGCCTTGCTTTCACTCCCCGGGACTCGTCCGACGAGGCTCTTTGCCCCTAAAAAGGGAGACCAAGCTAAGTGTCCAGGAAAGGGGGTGGGAGGGAGTAATTATTTCAATAATCAGAACTAGAGCAATAATCCAACGATTCAGGAAATGATTGCACAAGCACCCAGGAGGCCAACATTTTGGTCGTCTCTGCCTTAGACCAGCTGGGGCGGGTCAGATTAAAGCAATAAGCCCCGAAATGTTCATGACTACTGAACGGAGACTGGACAAATGAAGAACGCTTGTCAGGCGCCAAAACATAGTTTGCCATAGCAGCGTGGGGGCGGCGGTGGGGGCACAGTTTGCTTAGTCCCGAAAGAGGGAGGGGAAGGCACCCCAAAAGCAGAAGAAAGAAGTTAGGGATTGCTGTGCCCTGCAGGGCTCACGCTGACAGTCCGTGTGCGCTTGTGCGTTGCAGGCTGACCAGCTCCAGCCGAGGGAAGCCCAGACCCGGCCCCTGCCGCCTCCTGATGTGGTGCCTGGAGCGGCTCGGCTTAGGTCCCGAGCGCCTCCTGCGGGGCGGGAGCGGACGGCTCCAGGGCTGGGCCAGAAGAACCGCTGCCACCGCGCCCGCCAAGTGTGCGAACGTGCTCACCCCGGACCGCATCCCAGATTTCTGCATCCCCCCGCGATTCGCGCCCTGCCCCGTGCTGGCTGCGCACCGGGACTCCCGCGTGAAAAGAGCAGGAGACGACGACGGCGCGGGGCGCACGGACTGGGACCCGCGCTCGCAGGCGGCGCTCTCGCTGCCTCACCTGCCCCGCGCGCGCACCGCCTACGGCTTCTGCGCGCTGCTGGAGAGCCCGCACACCCGCCGCAAGGAGTCGCTCTTCCTGGGGGGCCCCGGCGCCCCGGCGCTCCTGCCGCCGCCCGCGCTCCGCCCGCGGGCCCACACCTACGGCGGCGGCGGAGGAGGAGGAGGAGGAGACGCCCCCCTCTGGGCCCGCTTCACCCCACCCGCGGCTTTCCGCGGCTCCCGCCCGCCCCGGAACACGCTCGCCCCGCGGCCCCGCGGCCCCCGCCCCCTGCGCGCCCCCAAAGGGCTGCTGAGCCGCGCGCTGCAGGCCCGGAGGAGTCACAGCCTCGCCCGCGCCCGCTCGGTGTCCAGCGGGCACCTGGACGGGGAACGCTCCTCCAGCTCGGGGTCCCCGGCCCGGCCCCGCTCCGCGTCCCCCCCGTCGGACCCCGGCCCGCGGCCCGGGTGCGTGGAGGCCGAGGGCACCGTGGCTCTGGGCCGCGCCTGCGGCGCCCTGCGCCTGGCCGCCGAGTACAGCGCGGCCAGCGGGCGCCTCCGCCTCCGGCTGCTGCGCCCCGAGGGCCCGGCCGGGGGCGCCCCGGAGCCCTGCGCCGCGGGCTGCCGCGTCAGCCTGGTCCTGCAGCCGCCCGGCAAGGCGCGCCCGCAGCGCAGCGCCGTGCTCCGGCGGAGCCGCAAGGCCGGCTTCGACCAGGACTTCTGCTTCGACGGGCTGTCGGAGGACGAGGTGCGCCGCCTGGCCGTGCGCGTCAAGGCCGAGGCCAAGGGCCGCGGGCTGAAGCGGGGCCGCCTGCTGGGCCAGGGCGAGCTGCTGTTGGGCTCCCTGCTGCTGCCCTGAGGGCGCTCTCTGCCCGCTGGGGACTCGAGGACACTGGACTGACAGCCGTTTTGTACAAAATAAACGTGTATTTATTCTTTCACGGAGGCCTTTGTTTAAGTCCAATATTGGCAGAGATGATGGTGGCTTAATTATTACAGTAAAGGGTGTGATATTTTGTGTGGATACCTTCAAAATTCATTTTAGCAAGTGGTATGGTGTTCTGCAGTAGGGTTTCCATATGCAGACAGCAGATTCATTGCATTTCATGTGTTCCCCCACAGTAATACTGGGAGATAATGAATTACATGAGGTATAAAAACTAGAGGGTGTCTTGGAGATCTATTTGCTCCATTCTCTTCATTTTACAGTGTGTTCATTCCACAACATCCACTGAAACCTCCTTAGAGGATGTGTTTACTTTTGAAGCACTGTTTAAGACCATGGATAAGAAAATGAGGCCAAGAGAGGTGAAGTGGCTTGCCCAAAGTCAACAGAGAATTATTAGGAATTCCAAGGTGATACTCTTGGCAACATCTTGTTGGAAAAGCATTGGAGGAATTAAAACCATTTTCGTATTCTAAGCTTAAACAGCATTGTACTCTCATTTCACAGATGAGGATATTGAGGCACAGAATAAGAGCAAGTCAGGATTTACTCCTGAGTAAACATTGTACTCATTAATCTTAGTAAGTACTACCACAGTGTCTCACGGGATATCTCACTAATATTGTGAGAATGCAGCTCATATCTAAAATTGTGGACTCTGAGGTGGGTCTCCTCACATTCCTCCCTCTAGTAGGAAATCGAGTCAGTTAAATAAATAATTTATCTTGTGCTTATGACTTCAGGCATTGAGATGAGCTGAGTCTAAGGCTCTAAAGAAAAAGGGAACTGGCCTCCAAAGAGAAAGGGATGCCAGCCAAAATAGCATCATGTATGCTAATGTGCCAAGGCAAGAAGTCAAGAGTGTATCTACAACATTGTTCTACCTCTGGCTTTTGATAATAATAACTAGACATCTGGTGCACGAATTCGTGCACAGGTGGGGTCCCTCGGCCTGGCTAGTGATCGGGGCTGATCAATTTGGAGGGGGCCTTGTGGACAAGGGGAGGGACCTCGTGAGGTTGGCCCCAGCAGTAAGTTAACCAGCGGCCTATTCCAAGAGGAATCGAGCTCCCTCCTCCCTCCTGTCTGGTTCTGGCATGTGGGTGAACCAGATTCAGGGCTGTAAGGCCCCCAGCAGCAAGGTCTGGGTCAGTGTGAGTCATAGCTACCTGCCTGCATCCAGTCATTCTGGTCATTCTGGTCATTCAGCCGTAAGGTCACTTAGGCTTTTATATATAGAGATAGATAGGTTTACTACGTTATAAAGAATGATTTTTCTTATCCATCACATTCACTGCCAATCAGGCATATTTCTTCCTTTCTTATGCATATAGGAAGAAAATGTGCCTTAAGTGAGGGTTGAAAATATTTAAATATGTGGTGTGGTGTTAAAGATAGCTACATTATCAGTCTTGATTCAAAAATGGTTTCTGCTTTCATTAAACTGTTGACAGATTTATTCATTGATGCTCATGAAAAATGCTGTTTAGAAAAGTTTCCATTTCAGTCACAACTCTGGTATAAAATGAAAATGGATTATTGTGATGGGTATTTATAACGACAATCATTAAATAAATGTGAAGAATAAGTGAGAATTAATTAGCTGTCAAAATCAACCACATCCAGAAACTAGAAGTGATTACCAAATGAATGATGCTATAATAGTAGTTCATATCTATAATATCATGTGCTCTTCTTTCTACTCTAAGTCATCATTTTTAGGCCTTCAAGGCAACAATTATTTTTAAAAATGATTAACCTTCATGATTTTAGAACTTGTAACTAATACTGACTTTACATTTATAATATTTAAAAGGAAAATTAATGGAGAATGAAAACCATTTGGCTAATACAAGATTATTGTGGGGTTTTATTTTTCTGTGTGTGTGTGTGTGTGTGTGTGTGTGTGTGTGTGTGTTTCCCAAATCAAAGCAGATCACTTTGATGGCTTAAATAGTAAAATCTTACTCTAGATTATATATAAGTAATAGTTTTGTGGTAGAAGTGTTATTTTATTAAGAAGGCAAATCAATGCATTTTAGAAACCTAAATTTTCCATGAAATACTAGCGGGCTTTTCCAGATTTCCACTAATGTCAAGTTATGGTTGGTCAAATAATGTGAAAACCTAATCAATATAATTTTTAAATGACTAAAATATAATCAGAAATAACAAAACCAAGAATTTTAAAGTTGAAAGAACAGTAAGAATCATTTTGTGCAAATTCATGTAAAATAGAAAAGGACCATAGAGACAAATTGTGGATATTTTCCTCTTCAATCTTGGATCACTAGGAGAAACATTTCACATAATTTATTTTACATCGCTGAACTAATTTGATTTTTTGCATTTCAGAAATCATATTTGCAATAAATTTTTTATGGTAACATCAGCCTTTTGGGGACAAATTTAAATTTGGTTTATGCTTTGCTGCCCTCTACTGGATCCTTCATGTGTTTTGTAAGGGGGTATTAGACCATCTCAAATGAATATATTAATAAAGACGGATCTCCGAGATTAGAAAGATTGGAAAGATTCTTTCCAAAATTCAGAACTTTTTTAAAACACCACGGGACGTGGGAAAAATTTTTAGAAATCAGGACTGTCCCGCCAAAAGCGGGATGATCTCGTCACCCAATGACTTGAGGATGTGTGCTAATGCAAGGTGATAATGAAGATTCACATCGCAAAATAAGTGTCCTTGTCTGGTCTGTACTTTGGGTTTTCCCTAAGAAAACCTTCTTAGATAGAGTATCTGCCTTGCAGCTTTTCCAGCTTTTATCCTCTGGTAAATTCTGGTGGCAAATTCTGGGGAGGGGAGGCATTACCCAATGATTAAATCTGTCTTTTCATGGGCCTTTGTCCCTGGATTGTGACCTTAATACATTTTATTGTGTTATTTTTTTTACTTTTTCCTCTCTAGGTGAGATGGGAAGCATAGATAGGTTGGAGTTGAGTAATGGCTCTTTCCCCCCAAGTCAATAAGATTTTGGTAAAATATTTTCTACTGTAGACTAGGCTTTGTTAGAGATAATGCACTGGTAGTTTTCCAAAATGGTTACTACTAAGGTTTTTGCTTACCTCTTTACCATGAGAGCCTGGTGAAGTTCCTGGAGGTATAAGTATGCTACCCCCACCTTCCCACAATCCTAGTGTCTATTCAATAGCTTTTTTTTTGGGGGGGGGATTGTTTTATTGATGTCAGAGAGGAAAGGAGAGGGAGAGAGAAATAGAAGCATCAATGATGAGAGAAAATCATTGATTGGCTGCCTCCTGCATGCCCCCAGTGATCGAGCACACAACATTGGTATGTGCCCTGACCAGGAACTGAACTGTGATCTCCTGGTTCATAGCTTGACGTCAACCACTGAGCCACCTTGGCCAGGCTCAATAGCTTTAAAGTTCAATGAGTCACTGATTTTCTTTTCCAAAGCCATTAATTTTATCATTTAAAACAAATACAAGTAAAAATGATCTATCTTTGAGTAGGTTTACATCTTGGGAGAGTCAATTTAAGGAAATAATGATTATATCATTAGAGAAAAGTCTGAATGGAGATAGGACTGGTAGACACTTGTTCTTCTTCTAGGTAGGTTAGGAGAGATAACCTTTGTTAAGGAGTCAACAATCCCTCCTTTCCTTTCTGTGTCATCCTGCAGCTGGTGGAGCAGAAATATGAGCTCTTTAGTGACATCAGAGCTAGACAGGGCTACAGATCCAGTTTCTATCAGTCATTAGTAAAAAAAGCCACTTCATTCACAAATCTGGTATTGAATAATAGGCCCTGGGTACTCTGTAGCAACTCTACAAGTGTTGGTTGCTGATAGCAAATTTAGTTTTTAAGAAGAGTTTATATTCAAAGTTGGAGGGATATGAATTCCAAATCTCAGCTGTCATTTCTATCTGTGTCTCTGGGTCATATTAAATAGCCTTTCCAAATGTCATTTCTTCATTAGTAAAGAGGCAGTAATATTACCTACCACATGGGATTTTTTTTTGTAAGGGTTAAAGGAAATAATGTATTCAAAGTCCTCAAAGTAATTCCCTGTAAAACTACTCAATAAATATTAGGATTTTTCGTAATGGATGGTGTTATAGGACTGTCCCCCCAAACTTTTAGCATATCCAATAGGTGCATATCCTGTAGCTAGGATCTTATAACTAAGAAATTTAATAATAGATAAGTTATACTTGTATGAATCATTTAGAAACATTACAAAGTACCAAAGTCTGTGTTACAAACAAAAGTACTATAGACAAAGATTCTTAAAAAGACAGAATTGGGTTCTATGTGGCTCAGTTAGTTGGAGCAACCTCCCACACACCAAAAAGTTGTGGGTTCAATTCCTGGTCAGGGTACATACCTAGATTGTGGGTTCAATCCTTAGTTGGGGTGCAAAAGAGAGGTACCCAATCAGTGTTCCTCTCTCACATCTCTCTCTCTCTCTCTCTCTCTCTCTCTCTCTCTCTCTCTCCCTCTCTCTCTCTCTAGGAATTTTTTAAAAAGACATAATCAGGAAATGAAAACGGTTCTGACATTTATTTCATACTCACCATATTCCCAACACTACACTAGAGACACATTAACTATTAGATCCCTTTGTTCCATAGATGTGTGAGGAAGGACTTGAACTCCTGATGCTCAGAGAAAGATGCATGTTCACACAGCTGGTAAAGGGGAAGCCAATGATTTGGAACCATATGAGTATGACCACAAAGTCTCTGCTAGACCTTGGGTACCACCCAAGAGGTGGGCTGGATTTGGTTTTAAAGAGAAAAGAGAGTATGGCAGCCTTAGAAAAAGAACTAAGTTTTGGATCTAAGATACATAAAATATGTTCTTGAAACACTGCTTTTTGAGTCCCCAACAGCTCCTGGGAGCGCCTTTGGTGATCATACTGCCATGTGCTAAG